GCGACAACGTGGATCGTCTCACGTATGCTCGCTGTGTAGGGTATCTAATTCGGGATTCTCCCAGAGATTTTCGGAATATCATATCGAACGAGATAATCGAGCGCTTTCACTCAACCAGCGACATGGAGTTCTTGGCCAAATTTTACATCCACGGTTTCTTGCGCCCCTGTACGTTATTTTCACGATTAGTGCGCCGTTCTTGCGATTGATAAGAATAGCAATCAAACAGAACCGGGGAAAAACGCCTCCGTCTTCACCCAAGAAAACCTTAGACCAAATCGAACCAGTCAGCTCAACCCCGAAGGACCCTCCGTCAGCGAAAATCTCCGTGGGTTTGGCCTCGATATCTCTTGGTATGAATCGATGTGGCATCTGATGATCCTCCCGAAAGGCTCTGTGGCGCGATGGGTATCGATGTACACTCTCTGGCCAATATGACTATCTCTGTTTTGAGTTAACCTCTGCACAACGTCAGCGACATAACATAGAACAAGACGAGGCCTGGACATGCACCCATTATTGTTATATCATCCCCCCGTTGATTAACTAGAGGCTCGACCCGATGCCACTTAGCTACTCAAAGGTCCCCTTGCCACGAGCTTTGATGTATATCCCGCTAACGTATTCCTTAGACAAACCTTACTGTCGATTTGCAGAGAATATTCAGCAGCTTCGGAATTGACGTCGCCCAACTTGACGGCAATGGTGTTCACAGGTTATCGAACAAATTGACACTCGAGTCCGGAATGTGCGATTCGTTCGACAAACTATAGATATAGTTTGAGAAGGTCCGGTAAGAGATATGCGGTCATAACCTACCGCATCGAACTAATAATTATGCACACAATCCCTTTGATTTAGGGTCAATCCAACACCTATACCGTCGGGGCCGGTTGCCCTATCCGCATGTTGTCACTTTCACGACGATCACTGACCTGGAGCTACCGAATCCGGCCTATCTCAGGCTGGATGCAACTGTCTGCCGAGTTGCTCTTCTGTCGGGTGCTGTCAAGTACTTGGATTTGATCGACGAACAGGCAGACAGGATGGGGTTCTTGGCTTTCGATGGCTCCTCCGGGGATGTTTTCTTTTCTTTTCTTTCTCGAGCCCAATATAAATCAAGGAACTGACGCTGAATCTGAATCAAATGTGGTCACCATACTGAATAATTTGGGCATTGATGTCCTTGCGGAACTCGATGGAACCGACGGTCATCGTCCTGCGAACGGCCTCACCCTTACCCCAAACCCTCACGACATATTTGATTTGAGAAGTTGTCAATGCGGTTTGAAGAGGTCCCAGTAAGACATACTTGGAATTTTGTTTGCCACGAACACGGCGTTTGAGAGAAATCAGGTATGTGGGGGTTGATGCGAAGGCGTGGTGGATATATTTCGTTCTTTTCGCCCTTTGCAACGACCAGAAATGTCAGTGAAATTCATTCTGTCCGAGGCAACATCACCTCTTTGTGCTTACGACATATAAATAGATTAATGAAACAGCATGCTTTGATTTAACCAAGACAACAAGATAGCGACAAAAACAATGTACGTTACAACTACACAAAACAGACAACATGGCAGAAAGCAATATAAAGCAAAAATCGATATCCAAGCTAACCCTGCTATTCGATCGGGCTCGAGTGGCTGAAGCCAGTCTCGGGACTACTTGTTCCAGGGCTACTTGTCCCAGAATCTCCCCAGGGACTCTCCGGTGTCGAAGCATGAAACGTGAATAATCGCTGGGCCATGAAATCAACTTGTTTCTGTGGCTCGACCTTGCAGCTTGCAGTCCTCCGCTCCTGCGTAGGCCTCGAACGGGGTCCCTAAATCAACGTCGACTGTCAACTGCATTCACTCCAACCAACCATCGAAGCACGTACCACGGGTGGAATCATGGCCAATTTCGTCTTTTTCCTGGGAGGCTCTTTCACGACGTCGAGCGAGAGCATGGACGATGGCAGGCTGACGACTCGACGGATGGGCGGCCTCTTGGGAGCTTCGGGAACAGGTTCAGGCTCCGTTTCGACCATGATGCCCTGCGCCTCCAGAAATTCTGGCAGAAAGCTCAGGATCGGCGAAGAGTATCTCAAGAAGAAATGAAAATGCGTACCTCGAGACCTGTATCGAAACACGAAGGAAACATATGTGCTTGGCTGCTTCGAGCGGGCATTCTTTTCGTGAGCGACGACCGACCATGTGGAGGGATGCTGCGCTTCCGCTCCCTTCTCCTCGCCGAACCTGAACTCTCGTCAATGACCAGCATTTCTTCGTGAGATTAAGCAGAAATGTATACCCAACACAAAAGTCACCAGGCTTTCTTTTGCCCAGCAATGTCTTGGGAAGCTCTTGCATTGAATTTGCAGGCTTGTTCTCCACCCGGACAACCCTCTTTATTCGCAGTGTGATCATTCCAACGTCTTTGGTCGGCCCATCGGAGGTCTCGCTCGCTTTCCGCGACGTCAGTGGCGCGTCGCTGCACCCCCAGTTTTGGTTGAAACTCACCTGACTCGTCCACTTTCTGGAAGACGAATGGACGTTCCGCGGCTGGTGATGTTCTAACCCCTTGCCTCGATGCCGTGCCACTTCCAAACAAAAATCGTCCTGGTACTATGAAACCATCCAGAGTGATGAATGAGCAAGTGTCCACTTTGCCGCCATGGTCCTTCCAATGAACAGAGAAGTTCTGATCGAACACTAGTTGAGTCGAGGCTCCCAAGTTGTTCAGTAGCACGCACCTTTCCCTCATCGCTTGGAACCCAGCATGAGACCCTATTGAGTTTGGAGTCAACAGCGACGAGATACTCTGGCAGAGGTTTTCCGTCGACCACGATCCAAGCAGAAAATCCTCGGTGAGTGAGCATAACAGCTATCCCGAACCTTGCAAAACAAGCATGAGACCTGAGGACTTCGCAGTGGCACTATCACAAAGGAACAAATCTGACCTGGGGGATTCCGTTTCTTTGTCTTGTACGCGATAACAGAGGAGCACAGTATGGGGATGCGAAAGTGTTGTGGGTCCTTGTGGTTCAACTTTTGGGTGATCGGAAGATCGGGCCCTGACCCGATCATGTTCCTTTGTCACACCATTGTGACCCTATGGCTTATTTCCGAATCCGAACTCCTCCTGTTCCTCGAGTCCTCCTTCCATTTTCAACTTTTCAGCCCACGCGAATCTTTGTTCGATATTTCTCAATGCCACCGAAAGGAAGAGCTGCTTCAAAACGGAAGGCGGAAAGCTCAGGCGACGAGGACGACACGCCGAAGACTAAAACCAAGAAAGCAAAGGTCACGTCGCCTGCGCCGCGGCCTGAAAACGCGCAGCCCACGAACAAAGTACTGCCAGTAAACATATCATTTCCTCCTAAGACTCCGGGAACTCTCCGGCTCGCGGCATGGAACATCTGTGGCCTGGCAGCAAGTTCAAAGAAGGTCTGGATCCTTATTCGACGCGCTTTTGTTACTCCTCATCTGGTAGCGTCTGGCAGGGCTTCAAATACTACGTGGAGGCGGAGGACGCGGATATATTGGTGCTTACAGAAACCAAGGCGCGTTCAACGCGCAGACTGATGCAACACCGCGCTAACATCCATTTCAGGTCAACGAGGAACCTGTCGATCCAGCGATCACAGATCGCTATCCACACCGTTACTGGTCGATATCTGACAAGAAGACCTATTGTGAGAACGTTTTCGGCGATTTGAGATGCGTCATTTACACGACATTCAGCTGGAACTGCGATTCTATCAAAGCACAAACCGCTAAGTGTGGACAAGACGCTCCCAGGTCACCCCGAACCATTATCGGTGAAAGGGAGGATCATCACGCTCGAATTCGAAACGTGTTATGTTATTGGAACGTATGTGGTCAATGCCGGTACGGGTTTGAAGGTGCGCCGGATTTTGTGAGCTTCAGGCGTAGTTAGAATTTGAAATAACTCTGTCACATACAGACTCTCGACGCTAAAAAGGAGTGGAACGTCCACTTCGAGGCTTATATCCGGGACCTGGACAAGAAGAAGCCAGTGATATGGACTGGTGATCTGAACGTCGCCCCGACGGAAATGGGTATGCGTTCCCAGTTTTTTATTGAATTGGATATGTCTGACCCCTGAGTGACCATTAAGATCTCTGTAATGCGAAGAAGAATTGGAACAAGACCCCGGGGTACACGGAAGCCGAGACGACGGCATTCAAGAACATCTTGAACCCGCCAAAGGAGGATAAAGATGCGGGACGATTCGTCGACGTCTGGCGCCACCTCCACCCAGAAGATAGGCATTTTACATACTTCTCTTACCGGTTTAACTGCCGGGAGAAGGGCTTGGGGTGGCGCCTTGATATGTGTAAGTCCTTGGGCAGCTCTCGGAACATCATTAATGTGAAGATTGTTTCAATTAATTTCTCCAGTCGTATTGAGCGAGCGCATCGCTGAACGAGTAAAGATGGTCTGTCTGTCTGCACTTCCTTTGCGCATAGACGGTTGACATTTGCTGACACGACAAATAGTGCGAGATCCGCAGTGAAATCTACGGGGCGTCAGACCATTGTCCGTTGGTTTTGGAGTTTGATTTCGAGGCTGGGCCTTAGAATTTCGGTAGTAAACAATTTGTGTGTGCTACAAATGTACAAAATGCGACAAAACATTTCATTCTGAAGTCTTCTCAAACCAACGCCCAGACTGTATTACAGCCGTTTGCATGAGTGTTGGCCGTAGAACAAGTGATGTTTGGTTTCCAAATAGTGGACTTGGAATTTTTCATACTCTTGCACTGTACTTATATCAATCATTCGGCGGCCTCGTGCTCTTCCGCGACTAGGTCCCAGTTGTTTAGCCATAGACAGGGTAAGAGTATACAATCGAGGAGGAAAGGAAACCAATGATTGAGCGTGTGGAAAGCATTGGGAAAGCGCAAAAATTACAAGTCCGTTCTATTTGGAAACCAACGTCGTTCTACTGCCAACCCTTATACAGATAGCTGTAAGTTGAACCTTCTTTGAAGGGGGTATAGCTCAGCTGGGAGAGCAGCAGACTGAAGCACAATGATGTTTAATTCTGAAGGTCCCGCGTTCGATCCGCGGTACCCCCATTTCTCTTTTGTATATTTTCTCTCTTGGACCACACACACTACACCACCCTTATGGATTTCCCTTGGACTGTTTGTGGTGTTCAGTATGCATTGAAATGACCGGGACTGTGAACAGTGAGTGAGTGAGCCTTGAGCTTGAACGAAGCGATGTCATGACAAAACTATATCATATTCGATGTCCTCATTTAGTACTCGCCGAAGCGGACATGCCCCGTCTGTTCTGCATGTGCACGAGCATCCTTCTCCCCCTTCAAACCCTGGCCGCATATCTAAAAATGCCAACCACCGTCAAACATGCTCAACGCCACATCGAACTTGGACTGGGCACATACCTCGCACTTCAAGTCGAACGTCGCAGTATTCGTAAACGCTTTCTTACTCCTTAACACGTCCGCCAACTTCTTCGCCGCAAGTATGACAGTATCCTGCTCATCCTCAGGCGTCTGCACCACCCAATCACATATATCAATCAGCATAGCACGCATATCCCCCACCCAAAAAAAACACCCACCACCGGGAACATCGCCTGATGCCACTCCCCCGGGGCCTCCGGCATCGGCGCGAGCGTCGCCGCATCATAATGGATCCCCGAATACACCAGGATACAGCGCATACCGCCCGCCGCGCCCCCGGGCGGCGCGAAGTGGTCTATGCGCCCGGTCTCGACGTCGACACTCGCGATTTCCGTGTGGTAGTGCGCTGCGAGGATGGTGAGCTCGATCGCGCCGCCCCACGTCGCTGGTTTCAGGATCGTCGCAATGTACTTGTCTGGGGGCATCCTAAATTAATTCATTGTGGTATGGTTAGTAGGGTGGTGGTAGTGGTGGTGGTGACGTCATGGATGGATGATGTGAAGGGACGCGCGTACCCAAGGATGGCTTCGGTATAGGTATCTGGGCTGCTGCGTATACCGTCGGCGACGACTGGAATGCCCTGGCATCAATGGACTGCACAATGGTGGACCTGGCAACGCACGAACTTTTCCGCATCTCCTGCGCCTTGTCGATACTCTGCTCGAAAAGCAGAGCCACTGCAGAGAACAGACACGCATTGTCATCTGGTACTATCTGCGGGGGGTCTTCAGAGTTAAACAGTCTCATTATCATAAATGACCCAGACATACCCTGTGGATGAGCACCCCACCATCCGTCTCGACATAATCGGGGCCATGTGACTGGGCGGGCGGTGGACGGAACGCACTGGCAGGGACTCGCGGCACCGGTACAGGTGGTCGGGTCTCTACCACTGGAGATGAAAGGAGCGGGTTGGATCCTGGGTCCGGAGTTGCGCATTGTCTGCTTGGTGGCACGGTTGTCGCGGACGTTGACGTTGAAGAGCCGGCACTGCTGGCATCAGGGAGCTCGCTGACAATAATCTGCTCGCCACTCTTGAGCCCTAGGCTCTCAATAGGTAGTTCTGGTATCACAGTTAGTACGTGCGGTGGGTATCCTGCTTTCACTGTATCGTCGTTAGAACTTAAGCCCTCCCGCGAGTGGGAAGTGGCAACGCACGGCTCTGTCGTGATGGGAGGATCTTGGTGGCGGCGTAGATTTCTTGTTGGAGGTCTTGGACGGTAAAGTCATCGCGTTCGAGGGCGACTTGAATCGTTGAAACACCAGAGGGGTGGCGTAGACGGATTGCCACCATCGTGGTAGTGGTAGTTTGGGTGCTTGACAATGAAGATTAGATTCCGCCCCAACCGGTACCCCGCGATCACGATGATGATGATGAATTCAGTTTATTGCCTGACAAGCTACGATGAGCTAAGACCAAATATAAGTAAAGTAGGTAAGATGTAGCGAGTTATAGTAGTCAATAGAGCAAGAAGTTTCCGTGTATAGTTATTATCGACGTTGGAGTTGGCACCGCGATCACGATAATCTAATCTATTTGAGTTTCCCGATCGCCTTCTCCGCAATCGCCTCGTACTTGCGCATCCCGCCATTCAGCAGCTTCAGCTGACTCTTCACGATCCGGTATACAGGCCCTGGTTTCGCCTGCCAGCCCCCTCGGTTCCCATCCTCCGAGTCCGAGTCCGACTCTTCAACGTCACTGTCTTCAACGCCAGTGGACTCGTTGGGCGACTCCCCTTCGACTACGCATCGCATGAAGAACCTGTCGTGTGTGATGATGAGCAGTGCGCCCCGGTACTGCTTCAGACTCTCGACGAGAGCCAGAACGGTGTCAGAGTCCAGGTGCGTTGTCACTTCGTCCAGCACGAGCAGATGCGACGGGGAGTAGACAAGTCTCGCTAGGGCTAGTCGTACCTGTCTCAAGTCGTCAGTGAATAGCTCAACACATGCCCACCCAAAATCACCCACCTTCTGTCCACCCGACAACGCCGCAACGGGCACATCACTCGCAATCTTTCCAGGAAGCCCCAACCCACTCAACAACCCCCTCACCTCCTGCTCCGACATCGTCCCAGCCGTAACCTGCATCATCTCCCTCAGCGCCGTGAGCTCCGCATCCCGCTTTCCCCTCTCTTCCAGCTTCTCCACCTCATGTTGCGAGAAGCACGCAATCCTCGCCCTCGCATGCCTCGTCACACTCCCCTTTGTCGGTTTCAACCCATTCCCATTCTCCACCCCCACCACCAGCCCCACCAACGTTGACTTCCCACTGCCATTCAAGCCCGCAACACCCACGCGCTCCCCCGGGTGAATCACCAAATCAACCTGGTGCAGCGTATAGGTCTTTGCTTTGGGATACGCAAACGACACCCCCTCAAGCGCAACCAACGCGCCCGGAAACCGGAGGTCCGGCGGCTCCAGCGGCAAATTCATCTTCACCAGCGGATCCATCGTGGGTATATCGATAGCATCGCGCCGCGAGAGGTGGTACCCCATGAGATCGCGGTTGAGCTTGAACCGCCCGCCTTTCAACCCGACTTCGAGCCCGGTGCGTTCTTCGAGCTTCTTCCGTCGTGATGCGACTTGCTTGAGCTTCTTGTCGTCGCCTGTGCGCTTCGCGGCGGTGAGCGCGGATGCGATGGAGGATTCTATGTGTTTGGTTTTCTTGTCTTGGGCGGCTTGCATGCGTGTGAGGTACTTTGTGTGAGAGCGCCGTTCGTGTTCGTAGAGGGAGAGGTTGCCCTTGAAGTGCTCGAGTATTTGTTCACGGAGGACGAGCAGCTCGTCTGCGACTGCGTCTGCAAAGTCGCGGTCGTGTGTTCTGTATGCCAGCAATTTAGCTTAGCGCTGAGGATATAACTTGACCACCCACATAACCACCACGGTCGTGTCAGTAAGACTCTGCACGAAGCCCTGCAGCCATATAATAGCCGGCAAATCCAAAAAATTCGTGCACTCATCAAGCAACAGCACATCCACCTTCTGGAACAACGCACTCGCCAACGAGCATCGAGTGCGCCACCCGCCCGAGAGCGTCGCATACGGCCTCAGTATCACCTCCTCCCCAAACCCCAATCCAAGAAGCACGGTGCGCGCACGCGCCTCGGCGGACACTGCGTCCATCGCGTCGAGCGATGCCTGGATCTCCGCAAGCAAGTCCACGGCGGCGCGCGTCGATTCTTGGATTGTGGCCCCATCGATCTCGCTAGGGGGCTGCTGGAGTAGAGCGGTGGAGGAAACGACGGCTTCTTCGGCTGCGATGAGGTCTTTGCGGGCTTTGGCGCCGCGGGCGCCGGAGCGGCGTGCGGCGATGCGGGCCATCTCGTCGTGGGCGCATGTGAGACGCTCGTGTTTGAGCTTGCGGAGGGCGTGGACGACTGTAAGCGGGTCTTTTGCGTCGTCTAGGGCGTCGGAGAGTTCTGTCCGCGTGTAAGTACATAGACATACTTGTGCACTGTGGTGAGAGTGTGCGCACGCTTGGCCTCGACGATGGCCCGCTCCCTTCTCGCATCGCTCCGCACAACATGCTCCAGCACGGTGCCCGTTCCGTCCTCAAAGGCCAGCTTGGCGAGCCCCTCCTCGAGGAGACTGCTGTTGACGACGTCAGTCTGGCCGAGGAGCAGCATGTGAAGGCTCCATGGGATGCCGGGGATGCGGCCCTCGGCGAGTGCGCGCAGGAGAGTGGACTTGCCGGTACCGTTGCGGCCGACGAGGACGTAGTGGTGGTTCTCGCGGAGAGTGAGGGTTGCGTGTGAGAGGAGGTCGCGGCCGGCGACAGAGAGGGTCAGGTCTTTGATGTCGATCTGCACGGGTTACAATCAGGCTCAACGATGACATGATGTCACTCACGTCCTTGGACGCGACCTCTGTGGCGTCAAGGTGGAAGCGGCTCTGTTGCGCTGTGGCGACAATGCCTTCAGTGGGCTTTTTCTTGGGCGCCATAGACGGGCATCAAGGCAGAAGACTGTAAAAATACTTGCATCCGAGTCACTGCGGTTCCGGGATACAGTGGTCACATTGCTACAACAGGCTACTACACATCATATTCATACATTAAAAGCTGAGCGCGTGCATTTACATCTTGTCGCCCATGCCCATGGCGTTCTTGGCCTTGCCCATGCCCATCATCGACTCCTGAAGAGGGGGTAAGACGGCGAACCAAGCACGGAAAAAGATCGGACACTGACATCGTTGTTGTTGCCGCTCATGTTGTTGGTGTTGCCGCTCATGGTATCACCAGCCATCTGGCCTCCAGACTTGTTGCTCTGACGAGGGGTGAGTGGATGAAACGGTGAACGGGGTATTCGTGAAGGCTCACCTGGGGCTGCATGGCGGAGGCAGCAGAGTCCATGGTTCCCTTCATCTTGTCGCCCATCTGCTCGGTGGTAGACTTCTGAGAGTCGGGCTGGAAAAGGAGTCAGAGACATAAGTGGGAACACCAAGGGGAACGTACCTTGAGAGCAGAACCGGCTTTGTCGGTGAAGGATTGGCGGCTAGCGTCGGACATGCTTATAAGATTGCTCTGCGACAAAGGGTTAGATGGAAAGAGCGAGAGCGGGGAGTCGAGCGTACTGGTTGTGAGTTGGTTGTGGGTGGTTTGGGAGAAGAGCTGTTGAGTTTTGCAGCGGCATGGTCGAGTCTTTATAG